TTTTTAATGCATGACGAAGATATGTGTATTTCTTATTTTAGAGGACGCTAGATCTTTTGTGTCCCTCTCATGTTTTCCCATTTGCAAGTAACAGAAATCCTGGGGAGGATCCAGTGAAGGTTCCTGGTTTGAAAGTGAGCCGTGTCAGGAGCAGACTCCAGAAATCAGAAGTGAGAAACTTAGAGGCCCCCCCAGATGGAAGCCGAGAAGTGGGTGTGGAGGGACGGCTGTGGCCATTCATCGTTTTCTAGACCTGCTGTTCTTTCCACCGTCATTAACTGTGGACTCACTCACGCTGCCCATCCAGATAGTCCTCCGAGCCCTGGAAGAAGCTATGTTAATTAGCCATTTCATCTGGGAACATCTGAGGGTCGAAAGCAACTCTTTGCCACAATAAGCCACGCTGCTCCCATTGTACAGATGGGGAAAGAGAGGCCCAGGGAGATTCAGTGATGTGCTCCAAGGAAGTGACAGGCTTGGGGGCCAGCAGGCCAGGTTGTCTGGGTTTCTGTGTCGTGTGTATGAGTGTGTGTGTCTGTCCATCCTCCACAGTCATCCCTTCCCTAAGACACCTCTGGTCCCCACCCTGGRCATAGGAAGGTGGTTTGGGCACCCAGGCACCTGTGTCTCAGTCCTGGTCTCTGTCCCCATAGCTGTGTAGCCTTGGGCTTGTTACTTAGCCTCCCGATACCTTTGGTTTTCTTCTGTCAAGTGAGGACAATAAGGGCCCCTTTCTAAAGGGGCAGGTGTGAGGATTGACATGCTCAACATTTTCAAGTGCTTGCAGCAGGACCTAGGCCAGTCCACGGAGCCATTCAGGAAGGGTTGAGTTTGGGTGGTGTGATTTCRCTGCCCCTCAACACGCCACTGCTGTGTGGCAAGTGGGCCAGCTGGATTTCCAGTGTCAGGGATTCCATGTTGGTGGCAGGGGGGAACTTGAGTCCCTGATTCATGAAGGGGGAGAGACAGAAGCAAGCTGTCAACCACAGAAACGGTGCAGATTCCTGTGCAGCCCTTGTTTGAATGGTCTGCCTGCAGGGAGGAGCTGCCCCACTTGTGGAGATCAGGGAAGGCTTCCTGGGGGAGGTGACCCCTTGGAAGAGGTCTGAGTGCACAGCAGGGAAGAACTGGTTCCTGAGCAGGTGACTGAAAGAGTGGGGAGGAGGAGGCCGGAGGGATAGGACCAAGCCCCAAGGGCCACTATGTAGACCTTTTCCATAACGGCAATGGGCCTCCTTTGCAATAGCRCTAGGGAGCTTTGGAAGGTTTTAAGGGGAGGGTTGGGGTATATCTGCTTTGCAAGCTGAAAAGCTCTCTTTTGCCAAAGTGAGGAAGGTGAGTTGAATGGCGGTTAGCTTAGAGGCTCTGGAATGATTCGAGCAAGCTTTGGACCCGGGCAGGTAGTGGAGKTCGAGAGAGAGGGGATTTAAAAAGGGGTTCAGGTGGTCACTTCAGCAGGTCCAGCTGTGCAGGAAGAAAGGAGGCCTCTAGCCAACGCCCGGGTTTCCTGGCTGTGGCCTGTCAAGCTCAGCCCTGCAAGAGGGGCGTGAGAGCCGAGCAGGCTGAGGGTGGAGACCCGCTGCAGCAGACCTGCCGTTCAAACAGCAGAGGACAAGCCGGCAGCCCGCTGCTGTTGACAAGTTCACTGTTCAGCACTGCTGAGAGTTTGTGGGGAGGAGTGTCCTCTTGACCTTGGCCTTCTCCCAAGCCTGCTGAAGACAGGCAGTGTCTCCAGGGAAGCCCCCAGCAGGGTTCCTTTGGGCTCCAGTTCAGATCCTCTGGGACCTAGAGCAAGTCACGGCCTTCCCAAGCCTCGTTTCCTTATCTGCAAAGCGGATATTGGAGGGTGTTGGCTGTTAAATGAAACCATGGGCTTCAGTGTCACTAGATAGGGGCGCCCGTGTGCTATTAGTCACTCAAGAATTGACAACAGGCTTTCACCCAAACACCACTTGCAAGGAGCACGCTGGCCCTGAATGCTGACTGGCCAGAGTGTCTGCTTGGTGTCTGGGGCCCTCCTTCAAACATGGAAGGGTCATGTTTGTGGCCCAGCCTCAGAGCTGGCCGGGGAGTGCGTCTGCCTCYCTGGTCCCCTGTGCTCCCTGTCCCTAAGTCAGATGTGTGGCCTGGGATCCTTCCTGCTCTCCTCCACCTGCTGTGCTCTAGCCCTTCTGTGGGACCCAAGCAAGCAGCATCCCCAGAAGCATCTACGGAACACCTTTTGTGTACTTACTCATCCTTGGTCATTTTCTGTTGCTATAACAAAATACTTGAGACTGGAAAAATGTATAAAGAATAGAGGTTGATTGAACTCACAGTTCTGGAAGTTGGGAAGTTCAAGAGCATGGTATTGGCATCTGATGAGGGTCTTCTTGCCGAATCATAATATGGTAAAGGGCCTCAGATGGCCRGACAGAGCCTGCATACTAGCTAGGGTCACTCTCAGAACCTCATCTCACCCTAATTCCCTCCCTAAGGTCCCACCTTCCAATGCCACCAACATAGGGATTTGGGGATTAAGTTTCTACTATATAAGCTTTCTGAGGACACAGTCTAACCAGAGCATCCCCATAGCTGTCCCCATAGGGAAAAAAAAATAGCCAAAACCAAAAAATCTTGAGCTGACAAAAGCAAAGATAGAGACTGGGTAGAGAGAGAGTCTTCTGAGTAGCTCAGCTTTTACTTGCAACRGGTGCTTTCCCAAAACCACGTCTCCTTCTAGAAGGAAAGACAGGGCATGAATCTGACATGACTCTCCTGTGTCCCTCTACGAACGTACCACAGTGACTCCCACTGCAGTGTAYGGCCCCAAGAAATTAATCTAAAAAATAAATATGGTAAATTCCAGAAAGATCAGTAGAGGGGGAGGGAGCAGGGGTGTGGAGAGGGAAGGGGACGGAGAGGTCTTGGGGTCTGAATTAGAGCACGATATAGACCCTGCTTGTCTAAAGATACCAAAATGGATGATGCCGTCATGTATAACTAAAAAGGACCAATAAAATAAAATTAAAAAAAAGAAAACAAAGTACACGACATAGAGACTCACGCACGTGTTAGGATGGAGGGCCAATCTGGGGTGCACGGCCCCCCGTGTCTGCCATCCCCCATTAGATCCGCGACCCCAGGGCTGCAGCCGCTCCATTGGCAGATGTGGATTCTGTGCAGGCTCCTCACCTTCTGGGGGGAGGGGGAGGGGGAGGTTCACAGGCATCACCCCTGTTACCCCCACAGCTCTAGGGACAGCAGGTGGCACATGCACAAGCAAGCATAGCCCCGGGGCCAGTGGGTCAGGGCTGTGTCACAGGAGTGCAGGGGCGAGAGGCCCTGGGACACCAGCAGGAGGCTGAGCCGAGTGTGCCCTGTGGCCAGAGCAGACAGGAGGGACTGCTGGGGCATGCATGTGTGGTGTGCACATTCAAAGCGGCACGTCCCTGCAGCCTTGGGGACTCCAGCATGGAGAGCTTCGTGTGTTGTCATGCTATCCTGCCTGCTGCTCCTGCACATGTCCTTTCTACTGTCCCCACAGGTTCTAGAGAGCCAGCCAAGGGCCCAGGCATCATGCTAGGAGCATAGGGTCGCCATCCAGGGCCCAGCTTAGAAAGTGGCCTACCAGGGTGTGTTTGGGGGGCCAATTTTAGTGCAATCCCAGTTGCAACATAATCTGACTTTGGAACACCTACCTTCATTCACTCTCCTGTCCCTGGGCTGCTCTACAGCAACGGGAATGAGCCAGTTACTGCCACACACGATGGCATGGAGACAGCCCACAAGCTCATCATGTGGATGAAAGAATCCAGGCATGAAAGAGAATTTATGATTCACTCACATAAAACTCAAAATCAGGCAACACTAAGCCGTGTGTTAGAAACCAGAATAGCAACTGTGTCAGTCAGCTTCACGGCACTGTAACGAATACCTGAGATAATCAACTTATGAAAACAAAAGGTTTATTTGGGCTCACAGTTTTAGAAGCTTCAGTCCATGACCCACTGACCCCGTTAATTTGGGGCCTATAGTGAGGTAGCACATCACCGTAGAAGGATGTAGCAGGGAAAAACAATTCACCTCATGTCCCGGAAGTAAAAGAGAGCAAGAGGAAGAGGTTGGGCTCACTCCTTCTTCAGGGGCCTAACCTGGTGACCTAAAGACCTCCAGTTAGACCCCACCTCTTTAAGCCTCCACCACCTCCCAGTGATGCCAGACTGGGGACGACCAAGCCTTTACCACCTGGCCCTCTGGGGGACCCACAGATCTAGAYATAGCTGTGGCTGACTATTTCAATCAGCTTCTTTGCTGCTGTGACTAAAAGATCTGACCAGGACAACTGAGGAGAGGAAAAGTTTGAGGGCCCATGGTTTCAGGGTCTTAGTCTATAGAAGGCCRGCTCCATTTCTCTGGGCTCGAGGTGAGGCAGGACATCATGGTGGGAGAGAGTGGCAGAGGGAAGCAGCTCACACATCACAGTGATCAGGAAGCAGAGAGACCCTTTCCAGATATAAATATATACCCAAAGCCATGCCCCAGTCCCCACCTCCTCCAGCCACACCCCACCTGCCTGCAGTTACCACCCAGTTAATCAGGGGATTCATTCACTGATTGGGTTGAGACTCACAGCCCCCATCATTTCTCCTCTGAACCTTCTTGCACTGTCTCACACGTGAGCTTTGGGGGTCAGCTCACCACAGACCATAACACTGCCCTTGGTGTGGGTCTGGAAGGGGCAGGGGGCTGGAGACACGGGCCATGCCCTGTTTCTTGGGAGAAACCACCTCTCCATTCCCTACAACACCCCGATCTGATCAGCTCCATTTGACAGATAAATAAACCGAGACTGGGGGACATTATGAGCCCATCCAAGAACCCACAGCCGCAAGGTGGGCAGAGCTGAGATTCCCAGGAGAACACCTCGTGGGCTCTTCCTGTCCCCTGCCTATGTGTCCTCCCCGCTCCTGGACCTCCCCCAATCCCGGTGATGCTCACTCCTGTTGGCTGCTCCACAGTGTCGCKATTCTCCAGCCCCCGGGTGACCCCCCGGCTGAGCCGCAAGCGGGCGCTGTCCATCTCCCCGCTCTCCGATGCCAGCCTCGACCTGCAGCGCATGATCCGGACCTCGCCCAACTCCCTGGTGGCCTACATCAACAACTCCCGCAGCAGCTCCGCGGCCAGTGGCTCCTACGGGCACCTGTCGGCCGGTGCCCTCAGGTGAGCCCTGCTGGCCAGCTGAGGACCGAGAACGGGGAGCTGGGCTGGGGTCCCCAAGGGGAGGGTCTGGCTTCTCAGTGGGCACTTTGAACCCGAGGAGCAAAGGTTCATCTGTGAATCAGCACTTGTGACTTCAGAAGAAGTCAGGAGGTGACCAAGCGTGCCAACAGAGGAGACTGTCATCACGGACAGCKCTGTCACAAGGGATTCACTCAGGGCAGCAGCTCCCCGGCCCTGGGGTGCTAGAAGGAGCAAACAGGAAGCCACCACCATGTCTTTGATGGCCTGGTTGACCAGAGTCACCAGCATTTCCTCAGTGTCCTGCTTTGGGAAGAGGGGCTTACAGACAAGGGCGATGACAGCTAAGGATGTGGGGGTGAAATGGAGCCTGGCATCTGCAGGGCGACAACCTGCCAGGGGGGTGAAGGCTGCACCCCAGGAGCTAAGCATGAAAGGCCCAAGGGACAGGCAAAGAAAGGGGAGCCGCCGCTGGTTGGGGGATGGTGCAGCCCGTACCCTGCCCTTCTCGATGCCCTGGGCAGGGTCTTCTCTGTCCAGGAAGTCTCAGCCTAACGGAGGCCCCTGCCTCTCCCCCACCGCCCCACCTCCTCTCCGTTGCAGCCCAGCCTTCACCTTCCCCCACCCCATCAACCCCGTGGCCTACCAGCAGATCCTGAGCCAGCAGAGAGGCCTGGGCTCCGCCTTCGGACACACGCCACCCCTGATCCAGCCCTCGCCCACCTTCCTGGCTCAGCAACCCATGGCCCTCACCTCCATCAGTGCTGTGTCCACGCAGCTGAGCAGCGGCAGCAACTGTGTGAGCGATGCCAACCAGGTAGGTGTGCCCAAGGAGCAGAGGTGGCCACCATATACTCAGCTGGMCCCGCAAGGGCCATTCAGTGCCCACACATGCTGGAAATTGGTGAAAGGACTCTGGGACCCGGGATGGCTAGTGAGATCTCTTCTGGATACAAGGGGCTGAATGATGGAGGAGCCCTGGGGTTTGTCCATGGCAAGCTTTCAGCCTCTGGGGTCTGCTATCTCTGGTCYAGTAAACACAATGAGTGGATGGAGAACCCTCCAATTCACGGGGTCCGGCACCATGTAGGCACACCATGCACTGCGTGTGAAATGAAAGAATGAACCAACCGTAATGATGTTCGTGCAGGTTCATCTTAGAGCATCTGTTTCCTGCATGTTCTCAATGATGTTCGTGTAGGTTCATCTTAGAGCATCTGTTTCCTGCATGTTCTCAACCACCTTGACTCTCCAATCGGCCTTAGGCCTTGCCTGGGCATCCTAGCAAGGTACCTGGCACCCCTGGGTGCCATCAATATCTGGCAGCCAGTGAGGTCTTAATTTGCAGCTGGGGACGTGGCTTTAGAAGGACAGGGCTGTATAACAGACAGGCACAGGCTTTGGACTTGTCAGACCCTGCCTGGTTCCTGATTTGCAGCAAATGACTTTACCTCTCTCAGCCTAAGCTAACTCATCAGCACATAGGGACCTGTCACCTAAGCTGGGCCACTCCGCATAGAAACAAGTGGTACTTGGGAAGACAATCCTAGAGGGGAAGCAACCATCCCAGGCCACWTGTCTTCTCCCTCTACATCCCAGGGCTGCAGATGGCCCAGCACCTCCCCAGACAGTTACAATGGGCTTCTGAAGCCCTTGCCCTTTGCTGAGAAGCCAGGCCCTGGGTCCCCTGCTCTGGAAATCTAAGAAGTTGAACCTCAAAAGGACACAAGCAAGGGTTTCCACCATTTCCCAAAGGGGTCTCTTTTTCACCGTCCCCCACCCCTTGCAAAGCTGAGGTGGCAGCTCATGGAAAGGGGAGTGGTGGTGGCCTAGGTCTGGCCTTCTCCTGGGAGTGCYCCTGGCTGGAGGACCAGGCTGGGAGACTCAAATTCTGCTGCTTCAAACACAGGGTTGGCCTACGTGTTCTGTGTAGGGAGGTGTCAGAGGTAGAGTCCGATCCAAACTCAGGGTGTCCTGTCCTGCACCTGTGTGACAGACTGTCCTCTGCTCCTCCTCTCAGAACAAGCAGAGCAGCGAGTCGGCTGTGAGCAGCACCGGGAACCCCATCACCATTCACAAGCGGAGCAAGGTCAAGACTGAAGCTGAGGGCCTGCGGCCAGCCTCCCCAGTGGGACTGACACAGGTAACCCGATGGCCACTCTCACTGGTCTTGAGCTGGGACCAGGCCAGCTCTCCTGGGTTGGCTGCCTTTGGGCCTTTCACCTGTGGATGAAAAGGAATGGACCAGTGAATGGAGGGTGGGTAGATGGGTGGCTGTATGAATGAATGAATGAATGAATGAACGAACCAACCAATCAGAGAGGGCGAGATGGTTCCCAGAGCCATGACTGCCTCACAACCTGTACATACCACATGTTTATCAATGAATGAATAAAAGAATGAATGAACAAACTCCCACCTGCCCTTCCACCTTGTCCCTGCTGTGGCCACTTCTCCCCATGCCTCAATCTTGAGCAGCATAAGCCTCAGCCAAAATGTGTTGCTTACATCCCTGAAYGGCCCAGGCTCCTTGGGCTGCCCTCATCCTGGAACTCCGTCCCCGCTCCGTTGCCTTCATTGCCACTGGCTTTCCGAGGTCACTGGACTCGCATCTGCCCAGACACTCAGCCTAGCTCCTGGATCATCTTGGGACAGGGAAGGAAGTATGATTTCTGGCAGGAGGAGTGAGAACCAGCAGCTTACAGCCTATTGGATGGCCAAAATCTTTGTGCCACTTATTCTAATGCCCCAAGATGGAGCAGGAGCCAGTCATGCAAAGGGCCTTGCTGACCTTGAAGGTGACCCACMTGGCCCACCCAGCCTTCACACAGTGACCCAGTTGCCATCTGTTCCTACAGAATCCCCAGGTCGGCCACCAAGGATGCGTGGTACCTCCTAATCCCCGTCTCCCCACATCTGCCGGACCATCCTTTATCACGACTGTAAACCATCGGGCATACTCTGGGCACTTAATTTTCATGAAATATCGGGCCCTRTTATTGTCAGACAAACAGGGGTTGGTGACAAATTCTCCCCCTCGCTGACACCAAAACCAGTCTCTGCATGATGCATGGCTTTCACGAGGCTGGCCATCATAAGGGTCGTTGAAATGGATGAGGACACACATATCCAGGGAAGATAAACAGGTTGGAGTGGCGGGCGGGGSGGGAGTCAGGCCCTGAGCACCTGGGAGGCCCATGTCCCACCTGCCATAGTGGGGGGGCGGCTGGGACCGCCCTCCAGCCCAGATGGGCCGCACAGAGCCCCCTCCCTGCTCAGCAGCTGCTGGGGATATCCGTGGAAGGAAAGCATTTTATCACGAGGGGGTGGTCCTCCTGTCACTCTGAGTCCTGATTCACAGCAAGGTGGACGGGCGGCTTTGCCTTGGCAGAAAAATGCAGCACAATGAATCTCTGCTCTGCCGAAGCGCTCAGAATTGCAGGCCAGGATGATGCCAGCCTCGCCAAGGGACCTGTGGTCGTGTCCTGGGAGCTTCCCTCCACTTGACAGCCCACTAGCTTCTCTGGGTCTTGTCTGAAGTGAGCCAAGCCTTCAGTGTCTGGAAATAGCAAAATACTCCYGGTGTTCCTTCAAATGCATGAGGAGTGGCATTAGGAGACCCAGGGGTCCCTTCTCCATGGTCTCCCTTCAGCAGCCCTCCGCTGCTAAAGATGGGTCCTGTCCCGTGGTCCCCAGGCAGCCCAGGTACAGTGCTGGTTTCCTTTCAGAGAGTGCATTATTTAAAGCTGCCCTGAAAACAGCCAGGAGCCTTTTTAGGAAGAGTTCTTTGAGTCCCCCGTGGAAAAGTCAGGCCAAGAGGTGATGGGCACCCCACAGCCGGGAGCCATTTCTGCTGATTTCTGTGCTCCTAGAAATGGACTCGGTTTGGCTAAATCTCASGAGCCAGCGTCCGTTAGGGCTCTTGACCATGGCAAGAGATGCTCCCCTTCGCCTGCACTGGGCATGCTGTCCCCAGAGGCTGTTTGGAAAGACAGAACATTTTTCCTGCTGTTTTTGAAAATAGCTTGAAATATCAAGCAAGTGTTTGTAAGGTCACCTCTTCACCTGGCTTTGTTCCAAGCTTGACTGGTAAATGAGTGGCATATTAGAAAGTCCACAACAGGACATTTTGGGCCCTGCCTGTGTCAGCCTGGGGCATCTGTCCTGCCCTCCCAACAAACCCCTGCCCCCGCAGGTTCCTCTGGTCTGTCCCCATGACTCAGAGGCTCCCCTGGGCCGGCTCTGGGTTAGCACCAGCTGGGGTGAGGAAGCCCCACCTTGAAATGGGGCTTTCCTGGGCCCTAATAACGTGAGCAACCCAAGGTCAGGTCTAGGCTGCTGAGGTCTTGCTGTGGGTTCCAGGAGGTCAACCCTTTCCAGAGCCTCAGATTTCCCAGCCGTAATACGAGAATGCAGACCATGTTTTAGGAGCGGTGCAGGGAGAACATTCTGGAGGCATTCCCTCTGCTGAGCAGGTCGCAGCTACAATAGCACTGCCCTGGTGCAAATCCAGGTGCCTCCCGAGCCCTTCAGAGAGGAACAACGGGAGAGTAACCCTTCCAAGCCAGACACCTGTTGGTTTCCTGTCACCTCCGTCAGGAGCAGGCCCTGCACACATTATAAATAAAAAAAAATGTTCCTCCTCCCACCCCAGCTCCCCTTAGTGGAGACCAACCCAAATAAACAAAAGTCGCTGCCCTGCTCTCTGCTGTCCTCCTTGGCTGTCAGTAGAAGCAGGAGGTGATGAATACCTTGGTGGTGACAAGCCAGCACTAGAGAAAGGACAGCTGCTGATAAGAAGAGCTATGGACAGGGATCTTCTGGATGAGTGTGTGTGTGTGTGTGTGTGCGCGCGCACGCGCGTGTGTGTGTGTGTGTGCACACGCGCGCGCGTGCGTGCGTGCGCATGTGTGTCCACACCTCTGCCTGCTCAGAGTCCTTGGCATTCTGCAYACCGCTAATAGTGACCTGTCCTCGGGGTCACATGCTAGACACGGCTCATGAGGATGTGATCTGCTCTCCCCCTACCAGGAGCAGCTGGCTGACCTCAAGGAAGACCTGGACAGGGACGACTGTAAGCAGGAGGCCGAGGTGGTCATCTATGAGACCAACTGTCACTGGGAGGACTGCAGCAAGGAGTATGACACCCAGGAGCAGCTGGTGCACGTAAGCCTCCACCCCACGTCCCAGCCTCTGCGCACGGTGGGCAGAGCCCCCGCCACCCTGGGCCTACGGCCTCCAGTGCCTCTGCTGCAATAAGAGGCTGATGGGGGAGGCCCCAGGAGGATCCGGGGCTTCATCCTCTGTGAGTGGGAGGCATAATGACTTATTTGTGCTCTGCCAGTTTCCCATAAGATGATTTCCAAATACATGTGTAACCCAAGAGTCAAAGAATAAGTGAATGAGAAAATCAGGACAAAGGGAATAACAGAGTAAAGCCAGGAGGAGAGTTCGTATTAAAATCAAGTGCTCGGAGCTCGAGATCACACACGGACATCTTCCTGTCCTAAGCATCCTGGCAGCCAATGCACGAAGGGAAATCAGATTAATTAAACCAGCCAGGCTCTCTAATAATAAAGTCTGACTCTAAAACCTGAAAAAGGGTTCTCCTATGGAGGAAAGAGTTAGTAATTTCCTCTTGGAGACCATTTGCAGATACACAGTGTATTGGGTATAGGTGGATGGCTATGTCCAGATTCTAACAGCTTAGGCAAAGAAGGCCACAGAGTCAGTGTGTCCTTCAGGGTATGTCTCTTTGTCCCCATTCAAACTCTTAGACAGCAGCATCCATTATGGTAGTAGTCAGGTGTAATGTGAACTTGGCAGTTAGAACACACCAACTCCCTCTGCTTCTTCCAATGGGGTTTGTTCCCAAATACCATAGGTGTCTTTCTCCTCCCAACAYTGTCACCCAGGACACCAGAATTTACCAGCAAACCCATTGCAGCTGATACAGAACCTGCAACTCAGGGTCTCATCTAATCCCTTCTGAAACTCCAACATGAACTTTCAACCTGTACCACCTCTTTGGGATCCCTGTTGAAGAGGAAGTTTGGAGCTGTGGTTTGTGGAACAGATCAGATATAATTAAAGGAAGAGAGGGTCAGCATCTCGGGATGGGAGGGGGCTCAAACCACAGTGCRGAGGTGAGGACACAAAAGATGTATACCAAAGAGCAGGCATAAGCTGGGCATGGTGGCACATGCCTGTAATCCCAGTGGCTCAGGAGGCTGAGGCGGAAGGATCACAGGTTCAAAGCCAGCCTCAGCAACTTAGCGAGGCCCTAAGTGACTCAGGGAGACCCTCTCTATAAATAAAATATAAAAAGGGCTGGGGATGTGTCTCAGTGGTTAAGCACCCTTGGGTTCAATCCCTAGTACCGAAAAAAAAAAAAAAAAGAATAGGCACAGAATCCTGACCTAGAAAGAAAGACTGTAGGCCCAGGACTGTCCCTGTAGCTGCAGGTGGCCACCTCCACTTGGCTCTGGAGACAGTGGACTGCTCTGCGGGAGGGGAGGGGCCCCTTTCTSCAGCTCTGCCTCTCTCTGCTCCCTGGGAAGATGAATGGGCGAGTGGGAGCCCTACTCGATTATTAACAATTTGTTGCTAAGTAAACCAATAAGAAAAAATGAAAGGCATTGTCAGGAAGCATTTTGATCATTTGAAAGACTTTAAGAATAGAAAGGGAAGCTAATAGGAGAGGATTTCTCTGGAAGTTCAAATGCTGTATAGTTTACTTGCTCCAGTGGAGGTGTATAAACAGTGGAGCCTTTAAACAGGGCACAGGTGCCTGATGGCTTTCCGTCTTCTGGGATCAGGTGCCACCAAGGGCCTGACRCTCAGCTTCCTAGGTCACAGAGATCAAGCTACATTGTCCAGGAGAAGGAGACTGCAAGCCACAAATGCCATCCATGTATACAATTTTACATTTCCTATAAGCATTAAAAAATAGTACAGGCGAGCACAGTGGCGCACGCCTATAATCCAAGCTGCTCAGGAGGCTGAGGCAGGAGGATCGCAAGTTCAAAGCCAGCCTCAGCAAAAGCGAGGTGCTAAGCAACTCAGTGAGACCCTATCTCCAAATAAAATATCAAATAGGGCTGGGAATGTGGCTTAGTGATCAAACGCCCTTGGATGCACTTCATAGTACCTAAATAAATAAATTAGTACAGGCAAAGTTAACTTTAAAACAGCTAGACCCTTATCCAGAATGCTTGGGACCAGATGTGTTTCAGGTTTGGGATTTTTTGCATTTTGGAAGWGCTGCTTATACATAATGAGATATCTTGGAGATGGGATCCAAATCTAAACATGAAATTCACTTCTGTTTTGTGTCCACCTTATGCCAGCCTGAAGGTAATTTAATACAGTATTTTTAGTGCACCTACGATTTGATGGGGACCCATCCCGTGAGATCAAGTGTGGAATTTTCCACTTGTGGCATTGAGTTGTTTCTCAGAAAGTGTTTTACATGGGTATCAGATTAAGGATGCTTACCCTGTGATATATTTTATTTACTTAATAGCTGAAATATTATCCTATCACCAATACCATCAGTATAGAACGACGTTAATTGAGATATTGTACATTTTTTCCCAGTCTAAGTCTTTGAAACCAGTGTGTAGTTTGCACTTAGAGCCCTAAGTGGTCAGCCACAGCCAAACACCAYCCCCCAACACACACACAGCACTTTTAACCAGCCACAATTCAGGGGTCCGGGAGCCGCACGTGGCAGTGGCCCTGGGGGTCCATGGGGTAGGCAGCTGGGTTCACCGACTCCTGGGGCTTGTTTCGTGCAGCACATCAACAACGAGCACATCCACGGGGAGAAGAAGGAGTTCGTGTGCCGCTGGCAAGCCTGCACGCGGGAGCAGAAGCCCTTCAAGGCCCAGTACATGCTGGTGGTCCACATGCGGCGGCACACGGGCGAGAAGCCCCACAAGTGCACGGTGAGCACCCTCCTCCCACAGCAGCCTTAGGACCCACATCTCYAGGCCAGGGGGTAGTGGCCTGGAGACCACAGGCTGACCTGAGTGGTACAGGCCACGGCAGCAGCATGGGGACAGGTCTGGCCAGTGAGTCATTCTGTCTGTCCCCACCCTGGTTTTCTGCCTGGTTGGAGTCCTGGAGGCCACTGGTCCACTGCTGCCCAGACCTTAGCAAATTCACTGTTTGGGCATGAGGAACTCAGTAACCAGGGTACAGGTATGCTGATGTCACCTTGGCCATCTGATTGTGAGCCCCAAGCACAGTCCACTTTAATTAACTTGGGACACTGGGCAGAAAAGCCACCTCCATAGCACCCTGCAGGAAAGCGTCTTTGGTGAGTCACAGCTGGAGGCATTTGAGCAATGAAGGGTTAAAAACCACTTTGGTTAAGTTTGGGGGGTTTTCTTGGTTGGTTTGGTTTTCTTTGTGTGAGTGTGCGGTACCTTTTTATGGATAAGTTGTAAGACTTCTTGCCTGGTGTGGTGATACACACCTGTAACACCAGCAACTCAGGAGGCTGAGGCAGGAGGATCCCAACTTCAAGGCCAGCCTCAGCAACTTAGCAAAATGCTATCTCAAAATTAAAAAATWAAAAGGGTTGGACATATAATCATACACCCCCCCTACCCTGGGTCCAATCCCCAGTACCCAGGAGGGGGGAAAAAACAATTGTAAGAGTTCTTTATATATCTAGGTAATAGATCCTCTCACACATATGATTTACAAATATTTCTCCCWTTCTGAGGGTGGTCTTCATTTTGCTGATAATTTCCTTTGAAGCCCAAAAGTTTATCTTTGATGAAATCTAATGATGGGTTGTTTAGATTTTTATTGTATCTAAGAAATCATTGTCTAATCCGGGGTCACAAAGATTTACCCCTCCGTTTTCTTCGAAGAGTTTGATAGTTTTAAACATATATTTTGATGCACACACACACACTAGTTTATAGTCTAGCTTTTCCAATAAGGTCTTTGATCCACTTTGAGTCAGCTTGTTAGACATTTCTGCCCCTTTCCCAGTTTTCTGGCAAGACATGTTAACTGTTAGCACTGATGAAACCCATCTTCTGGGCACAAGCTGAGCGGTACTAGACTGGGGTGGAGGCCCCTGCCTTGGACCTGGGCTGCCCTCACGGACCTCCCCACCTCCTTCCAGTTCGAAGGCTGCTCGAAGGCCTACTCTCGCCTGGAGAACCTGAAGACACACCTGCGGTCCCACACTGGGGAGAAGCCCTATGTGTGTGAGCACGAGGGCTGCAACAAGGCTTTCTCCAACGCCTCGGACCGTGCCAAGCATCAGAACCGCACTCACTCCAACGAGGTACCCACATCGCGCCTGCGCACAGGGGCCCGCAGACCAGTGCGCGAAAGCCCAGCCCTCAATGTGTAGCCATCTGCCAGCAGTAGGTAGCCAGGTGCCGGGGCGCCCCTCTTCCACCACTACCTGCTGCACATCCCTGGATGCAGACCACCCCTCAGGGACCTGGGCGCGCCAGGCTCCCTGTCTGTGCTTTATCTTCTTTTTTGAAAGAGAAGATGCCTGCAGTGGCGCAGCTGCCGTGGCGATGCCGTCTGAGCTCCACAAGCTGCTCCTGCTCCAGCAGTCCCCGTGGCTGATAGTGACACGTTCTACTCGCTAGTGCTGCCTGAGTCTGCTGTGACCCTGAGCTCCCTGTCATTGAGGCCCAGGGTAGACTCTTTGTCCCTGAGTAGCCAGAGCCCTGGCAGGGCTGAGAGAGCCCAGAGTGGGAAATCAGCAGATGCCTTCAGGGTCTTCGACCCCTGGTCCCAATTCCGGCCCAGCCACACAATCATTGTGACTCGGGCAGACTTTATAAAGAGCATTTCTAATAGCTTAGATAAGGTGGAGGCCCCAAATGGACCTTGGTTCAATGCCTGTAAGAAGTTAAGAGGAATTCCCAACGCCCTCTGGACCTGGCAAGCCATCTACAAATAAGAATCAGCCTTGAAAAGGAGGGGGTGTGTGTGTGTGTGTGTATTTCTGTGTGTATGTGGGCTCAAGTGTGTATGTGTAGGTATGAATGGGGGCGGATGTGCGTGATTGTAAATGTATAACTGGCGGGGATGGTGGGAGGAGACTTGGAGTGGTGTGGGTGTGGCTGGGGTGTGCCTGTATGTGGGTGTGGTCATAGGGGAGCTGTGAGCCCAGTCTTTACCTTTTATCAGTAAGGTGTTTTTTTTTTTTTTCCTCTCTGAACCCATCTCCCCTCTTCGGGGTGCTGGTGCTGGCTCCCATGGGAGGCATGTGTGTCCCTTTCAAAGTCTCTCTCACCAGTGCCCCAGTGTCTTATGGAAAGCGCACCCTTGACCATGCACTTAATTTACATAAAAAGGTGGTACCCAGCCCGCTGGGGCCAGGCTGCTGAGGGCCTGGCACAGGGCGCTGGCTGCAAATGCAGCAGAGTGCCCACCCGTGGTGCCAGCCAGGTCATCCAATGGCATTCAGGACAGGGAGTGCACCCCTGGGGAGTTTGTCCTCGTGTTCCCACCCATGACACAGTCTTGGTTCTCCTCCTAGAAACCCTACATCTGCAAAATCCCAGGCTGCACCAAGAGGTACACCGATCCCAGCTCTCTCCGGAAGCATGTGAAAACGGTCCACGGCCCAGACGCCCACGTCACCAAGAAACAGCGCAACGATGTGCATCTCCGCGCCCCGCTGCTCAAGGAGAACGGAGACAACGAGGCCAGCACTGAGCCTGGTGGCCGGGGGTCTGAGGACAGTGCTGAGGCCAGCAGCAGCAGCCAGGCAGTGGAAGACTGCCTGCACATCAAAGCCATCAAGACCGAGAGCTCCGGGGTAAGCAGAGCCCGGCGACCCAGCTGCAAAGGGCACTTCACAGCTGGGCCAGGACCCAGGACCCCGCGAGGGTATGGGCTCTGCTCTGAGGTCCCCCACCTAAGGGTGAGATGATGTCCTTCCTCTCCCCAACTCAGCTTTCTGTGCCCTTAACTGCCTTGGCCTCACATGGAGCCTGTCTTGTCCAGGTCCCTTTCTGTGACCTCGCTCCTGCTGGGCAGCTGAGGCAGGGCTGGAGGCGGGGCTGAGGATGCCTGCTCCCCACATTGGGCTGTGCCGGGTGGGGGCGGTCCCTGCGTGTCTGCCTCTCCAACCAGCACCAGAGGGCTGCTGGGGGTCCCCAACCCTCTGTCCTGTTCTGCGTCCTTCCCCTCTGGCCTCTGCTCCTTTTGTTCTAACCACCTGTTCTTTGTCTCCGCCTCTTTCCCAACTGTACCTCCCCTAAGGATAGACGGTACTGAGGTGAGCAGAGGATTCGGGTGGGGGTTGGGGCGGGCAGGGGTGAGCGAGGGTGGGCCCGGGTTCTTGTGGGTACCATTGCCCAGGTGGACACTGACCTGTCAGTCCAGGCCTCCTGGGCCCAGACCATGGGTTTGGAGAGGCAGACGGCAGGGCACTGTTCGTGGGAATACTAGAGTAGGTAAAGCAGGAGCAGGCTGGGGGAACAGTGGCTGCAGAACAGCTGGCCAGGAGGAGAGTGGGGGGAGACCAGGCTGCAGAGGGGGTGCACCAACCTAGAGGGTCTTGAAGACCAGCCACAGGAGAATAAGGAGTGCCATGGGCCAGAAGACCTGGAAGGACCGTGTTTGCTGGGAACTTGGGCCCTAATGGGAGAAAGCATCACAGCTTCCCAAGGAAAGGGCTGGGATTTGGGGGCATTTGGTCCGGATGAGCCCTGAGGTGCTGCATCCAGGGTGAGAGGGTGAGCTTCATCCGGGTCCCATCCCCAGCCCCAGCGGGTGCAGCCCGAGTTCTTCGTCTTTCTTGACTTGTGCATCGGTCATGAGCTCTCTGCCCTACTCCACCTCAACACAGAGGGAGGGCAGCGGCCATTCAGTCAAGGCTGCATCCTGGGTGTCCCTCCCCTTTCTAACACCTGCCTCTGGCCTATTGAGATGGCCCCACCCAGTACAAGGACCAACTCTTGGCTCGTCCTCTGTTTCATCCTGCATACATTGCTGTTGCTGGGACTGCTTCAGCACCTTCTCTCATTGCCATCCGGGGACCTGTGCACATGCCAGGTGCCCAGCAGGCAGGCAGGCAGGTTCATCTTGTAGTTGGGAAGGCCAAGGTTAAGCGAAGCAAAGTGACTTGACCATCTCATGTAGACCCACAGCGATGGTCTGCAAGTTCCTCTTTGAGATGTTGTCCTTCCTCCCCCCACGCCCCCAGTCCCAGCATGCCTGAGTGTGGTGCGGATGCAGGGTGGACGCAGGACGAGGTGCATCTGCACACCCTCTGATCTTTTGACTTCTGCCTCCTCCCTATAGCTGTGTCAGTCCAGCCCCGGGGCTCAGTCATCCTGCAGCAGCGAGCCCTCTCCCCTGGGCAGTGCCCCCAACAATGACAGTGGCGTGGAGATGCCGGGGACGGGGCCCGGGAGCCTGGGAGACCTGACATCGCTGGATGACACACCTCCAGGGGCCGACACCCCAGCCCTGGCTGCCCCCTCCACTGGCGGCCTGCAGCTGCGCAAACACGGGACCACCATGCACCGCTTCGAGCAGCTCAAGAGGGAGAAGCTCAAGTCGCTCAAGGATTCCTGCTCGTGGGCTGGCCCAGCTCCACACACCCGGAACACCAAGCTGCCTCCCCTCCCAGCAAGTGGTGAGTGGACACCCGGGGCTTATGGGTGGGGTGGGAGAGAACCTGGGGCTGCACCAGCTAGATCCACTCCCACCCAGCACTCACCAGCACATTGCACACAGAAGGAGACTGAGAAAGCCAAAAATGCCCCCATCTGAATCAAATTCAAGGGTAAGACCATCTAGCCCTGTGGGGCTCCAAAGCCCTGTGCTCTTTCAATTGCACCATGATGCTTCCCTGTAGCCCCCTAAAAAGAGGCAGACCTTGGGCGTTCACATCATTCTCTTCCTTTTCCAGTCATTTATTAAGCACCTGCTGTAGACAGTGTTCACCATCTAAAGTCCCCACCACTGCAAGCCCTGCCACTGGACTACCCCTGTATTGCAGAGGGACACCAAAGACACAGCTAAGTATAGAGCAGTGCAGAGGAAAGAGAAGCCTGTCTAGCTGGGCAAGAGCAGGAGGACTTCCTAGAGGAGGTGGCACTCTGCTCGACCTGCGCTTTGAGATGGAAGGGATCTTCAGCAAGCAAGTCTTGAGTGCTAACTGCATGCCCAGCATTGCACTAGGCACTGGGCACTCAGGCCCCAAGCCCTCCAGGAACTGACAGCCCCTTGTTGGGGACACTGTGATACACCCATCCTAAGGAATATTTGCTGTCCCAACTATTGGAGGGACTGCTGATGATCACTTTGAACTCTTATGGAATTTCCTGGGTTATGGACAGCCAAGGTCACCCCTCCCTGAGTAGCCACATCCATCAGTGATTACTGCAGGAGTGTAAGGGACCAGCCATGTTGGCCCAACTTGGGGCAGCACTAAAGGGCCACTGGAGATCCTGACCTTCCTCTGAGATCAACCTAGGCTCACTGTTCCTCTGACTACCCCCACGTTCTCTCCTTCCCCTCACAGGTATGGATCTCAGGGCCCTCCTTATAAGTAGCCTTCGGGGGGTTCCCAACTCACAACCCCCATCTGTGGACTCGGATGATACAGGAGACTGTAGCCCTAATCCCCTCTAGACAATAACCGGGTCCCAGCCAGGGAAGGTGGCACATGCCTGTGATCAGGCTGCTTGGAAGGCTGAGGCAGGAAGATTGCAAATTCAGGGTCAGCCTCTGCAACTTAGTAAGACCCTGTCTTAAAAAAAAAAAAAAAAAAAAAAAAATGCTACTCTTGTCTATTGAGATGGCCCCATAGTTCAACAGTAAAGCACCCTGGGGTTCAATCCCCATTGCTGGGGTGGGGTGCAATCCTTTAGAGAGGTGCATTATCTATAAGAGCAGAGTTATCAGAATCCACAGGTAGCCGGGCAGTGACAGAGCTAAGATTCAGGCCTCCTAGCTTTCACTCACTCACCCTGGCAATAAGTGCCACCATTTGTTCATTTATCATTCCTACCCTCCCTTTCATTTGCAAATCTTCTATTGAGTGCCAGCTGTATGCCACACCCTCTCCTAGGGCTCCAGGCTCAGCAGACTGCCTCGGTACACCCAAGTAGGCAGAACCCCGCTCTTGGGCCCCAAAACTGACCCCTCTGCTTCCCCTACAGGTTCCAGCCTGGAAAACTTCAGCGGCCCTGGGGGTGGCGGGCCCACAGGGCTGCTGCCCAACCCACGGCTGTCTGAGTTGGCAGCGAACGAGGTGACCATGCTGAGCCAGCTGCAGGAGCGCCGCGACAGCTCCACCAGCACCATCAGCTCGGCCTACACCGTGAGCCGCCGCTCCTCGGGCATCTCCCCCTACTTCTCCAGCCGCCGCTCCAGCGAGGCCTCGCCCCTGGGCGCCGGCCGCCCCCACAACGCCAGCTCCGCGGACTCCTACGACCCCATCTCCACGGACGCCTCGCGGAGGTCCAGCGAGGCCAGCCAGTGCAGTGGCGGCGGCCCGGGGCTGCTCAACCTCACGCCTGCGCAGCAGTACAGCCTGCGGGCCAAGTACGCGGCGGCCACCGGAGGGCCACCACCCACACCGCTCCCGGGCCTGGAGCGCATGAGCCTGCGGACCAGGCTGGCGCTGCTGGATGCACCTGAGCGATCGCTGCCCTCCACTTTCCCACACCCACTAGGGCCCCGGCGTGGCAGCGACGGACCGACTTACGGTCAAGGTCATGGCCATGGCCACTTGGGGGCTCTGCCCGCCTTCCCCCATGAAGCACCAGGCGGCGGCACAAGACGGGCCAGCGACCCCGTGCGGCGGCCTGATGCCCTAGCTCTGCCACGGGTACAGCGTTTCCACAGCGCCCACAACGTCAGCCCGGGGACACTGCCACCTTGCACCGAGAGGCGAGGCCTCCGCCTGCCCAGCCACCCGAGCACCGACGGTAGCCTGGCTCATACCGCTTACTCTCCCAGGCCACCCAGCATCAGCGAGAATGTGATGATGGAGGCCATGGCCACGGGGATGGACGGCACAGGGCCCGAGTCCGACCTGGGACTGCCGGAGGATGACCTGGTGCTGCCGGATGACGTGGTGCAATACATCAAGGCACACACCAGTGGCGCCCTGGAGGAGAGCACAAGGCAGGTGTACCCCACGGAAAGCACCAGCTTCCCTGAGAACCCCAAACTGCCCAGCCCAGGCATGCATGGCCATCGCAGACTAGTGGCTGCAGACTCCAATGGGGGCCCCTCTGGCCCCGCAATGGGAGGCTGCCAGCTGGGCTATGGGGCACCCTCCAACCTGAACAAAAATAACATGCCTGTCCAGTGGAATGAGGTGAGCTCTGGCACCATGGATGCCCCCCTGCCCAGCCAGGTGAAGCCTCCGCACTTCTCTCAGGGCAATCTGGCTGTGGTACAGCAGAAGCCAGCCTTCAGCCAGTACCCGGGGTACAGTCCACAAGGTCTACAGCCCAGCCCTGGGGGCCTGGACAGCACCCAGCCACACCTCCAGCCCCATAGTGGAGCCCCGTCTGCACCCAGGGTGAACTACATGCAGCCGCTGCGACAGCCAGCCACAGGTGGTCAGTGTCTCAGCATGACCTCTACAGGGAGCCCCCACACCAACTATGGCCAAGCCCACCCCCAGCTGAGCCCCAGTACTGCCGGTGGGGCCCTGAACCAGTTCCCCCAATCCTGCAGCAATATGGCACCCAAGCCAGGCCACCTGGGGCTTCCTCAGCAGATGGAAGTTGCCTCTAACCCCTCCATGATGGGCGGCCACCACAGGGAAATTGGGGTCCCCAATTCAGCACTGGCTGGGGTACCACCACCTCACCCAGCCCAGAGCTATCCACAGCAGAGCCACCACCTGACAGGCCCCCTGAGTCAGGAGGGCTACCGCCAAGGCTCTAGCCTTCTGCCTCCCCACCAACCCGGCTTCCTGGAGTCCCAGCAGAGCACCATGGGGGTGGCCACATCCAACTTTGGCCTAGTACAACCCCGGCCACCCCTCGAGCCCAGCCCCGCCGGCCGCCACCGGGGAGTACGTGCTGGGCAGCAGTTGGCCTATGCCAGGGCCACTAGCCAGGCCATGGCTGCCATGTCAGTCAATCAGGAGACAGCAGAGGCTGTGCCCAAGGGAGCAATGGGCACCATGGCGACCCTGCCTCCTCAGCCACCTCTGCAGGACGCAGGCGGTGCTCAGGACCACAGCACTCTCCACTACTACGGCCAGATCCACATGTACGAACAGAATGGGGGCCTGGAGAGCCACGGAGGCTGCCCAGCCATGCGGCCCCAGCCACCAGCGCCACAGACCTGCCCGGACAGCATCCAGCCCCAGCCCTTGCCCTCCCCGGGGGTCAACCAGGTGTCCAGCACCGTGGACTCCCAGCTCCTGGAGGCCCCCCAGATCGACTTCGACGCCATCATGGATGACGGCGATCACTCGAGCTTGTTCTCGGGTGCGCTCAGCCCCAGCCTCCTCCACAGCCTCTCCCAGAACTCCTCCCGCCTTACCACCCCCCGGAACTCCCTGACTCTGCCCTCCATCCCCACGGGCATCAGCAACATGGCCGTTGGGGACATGAGCTCCATGCTCACCAGCCTGGCCGAGGAGAACAAGTTCTTGAACATGATGACTTAAGGCCCGGGACCCTGGTGCAGAGCAGAGCTAGYGGGATTCGACACTTCCCCGGAGCATGGGAATGGTATCCACGTTTTTCTTTTTCCAAAAAAGTATTAAATAGGGCTGAGAGRTTTTTTGCCAATGGTTCAGACTAAAGATGTGTGAAGAGAAAGTTCGTGAGTCTCCTCTGGTCCTTGGGACTATTTTTCAGAATGCTAAAAAAAAGGTCTCCATAGGAAAGAAAAGAATGAAAAACTCTTGTACACAGTGCTTGTCAGCCTTTGGTGTTTGTGGGACCCACTGGGTTCTCGCTGCTCCCCGCTGTCATTTGCCTCATGGGGGATTCCATCGGCCAAGGGCTTCCCAAGCGCATGCAGAAAGAGGGTCGGGGAGCCACAGTGGGGTTTGAATCTGAAAGCCATACTGGATCTTCTACTCAAGGAATTTGGGCTTCTCATTCTGCCACCTGTAAGGAAAAGGAATTCCTGCCTACCCGGATTCTTCTAATAAACTTCAGCCTTGAGGTCTCTGAGTTCCTTTGCCACAGAGGAAAAAAAAAAAAAAAGCCCATTCCATCCAAATGTGTTGGAAACACATCTTAACTCCAGGTTTGGTAGAGCTGGAATCTCTACCCACTGCAGCCATGTTTGGGACTGGCAGATTGCCCACGTATATATGATTGAATAAAATATGTAAGTGTCACCAGGAAAAAGGAGAGAACAGGTGTATTACCTGGAGCACGCTGCTCCAGCCTGTCCCCTCCGTGTTTACAGTGTTCATGCATGTAGAATGTAGCCCTTCCTCAAGGAACGCTTGTCTCTAAATACCTCRGGGTTGCTGGAGCTGCTGTGGGTTAGGAAGTCCAGGGCACACCGCAGCTTGAGGTGTTCCTGTAGGAAGAAGTCGCATGTTTACCTARTCCTGTTTCTCCAATGCACTGTCTGCCCACCTTACCATGGATAACTCTAGGCTCGGGGGCAACCGTTGCCCAGCCTCCTGCGCGTGGTGCATGCTGGTGAGCAGTCACCTGCAGCCCAATCAGTGGTCTACGCCAGGCCACAACGAGCACCCCCTATAACTTCTGAATTCCCTGACCTCTACCCTCCCTGGTTATTTGGCAGAGAAATGATGTCCTGCATGGTATTTGGGTGGGGATGGGAGGGTGAAGGGGTTGACTCTTGGACCCTGAGGGATGGTCACAGAGTTCCCCTGTTCAGTGTGACCAAGCCCCACCTGCAAGTGGAATTTGGAAGTGACTCCAAAAAGACATCATTCCTGATCATACAGAGGGTGAACGGTGCCTCTTCCCGCTGTGCGCACGCACCCCAAACCTTCTYGTGTTGAATTCCTGGCAACCTAGCCAAAGCAACTGTGCCACGTAGCTTCAGTCCGGCTGTGACCCTGGCTCCTGAGAGGAACTTCTCGACAGTCTGTGGACAGGGCCCAGCGCTGATTAACTGGGCCCTCTGTTTCCCAGGATAGCAAAACTCCTTGTGAAGATCCAGAGATGAGGCCAACTTCAAATGACAGCCCTGAGCCTCCGCCAGGGCTGTGTGGCTCTGGTGGTGTAGGCTCCCTTCCTGGGATAGGGCTGTGCTCGCCGTCCCCAACCTGTATATATTTTGTGAAGAAAACGTCGTCCCTGAATATACTGTAGGTGAGTCGTCCGGCCAGATTTATATCTCCAAAACATTTTTAGCTTTTTCTACATGCTATGAATTGAGATGACACGCTCAACTTGTAAATAAGTCTTTTTGTACATTAAAAAAGTAATTTTTTCATAATTTATCTTGTCTATCTGCTTCTCCCTTGACAGTCGTTAATGAGAATCTGGTCAGTAAATTTGGTGCAATTGAAMGGAAATTAGGCTGTATTTTTTCTTAACAGTGTCAAAATTGACTTTCCCACCTTCGCCAAGAGATGTTTAATTCTGAGGCATTTACGGGCTGTTTGCCTGTCCCTTTGGGGTGGGTGTGGGCAGGGTTGATGAATATCTAGCTGTTTTTCCAGCGAGCTGGTCTGCACCTCTAAGTGGCTTTGCGGGATCCAGGTGTGGGCTCAGTGTTCCTCTGTTAGACACCTCCCCGTGGTGGGTAAGCGTGATGGAGCCCATTTGGGCTGGGGTGGGGGTGGCAGCAAGGAGATAATCGGGCCCCATGTTGGGCAAGCGGTGTTTCCTGGTGCGGACCAAGGAAAGAGTTAGGGCCGGCAGGTGAAACCCGGATATCCACCTGCCACCTTGGGCAGAAGGGACCATGGGGAGCAGCCGTGAATAGCAGTCAGCCATAAGGAACCATTGAACCACTGTAATAAACCTCCAGAGAATCCAGAGGGAGGTATGAGGCCCAGCCTGGGGGTGGGACAGATTTAGGAACTGTGGCAGGAAAACAGGAGAGAGCAAGCCCTGAGGTAGAGGGCTAAGAGGGCACCTCCTGCAGGATTAGGCTTCTGATCTCCCAGTGCAGGTCCTTGAACTCCCTCCTTTTCTCCCTGAGAACAACCTTAGCTGCAGGTCAGGCTATAGAGAAGCCAAAACCACATGGGACATCATCTGGCTTAGAGGGCATCAGTTCCAAACGGATGGGATGCAGCAAGGTCTTATGGTCAAACAGTGGAGGAGACACCCAGGGGGAATAGAATTTCGCTGGTCTCTTCTCCACGAGCACACCAAAGCCATTGCTGTGTGCCCAGGGAAGGACCGACCTCTTCTGTGGCCAGAGTTCTTGGTGGAAAGCACACAGCAGGAGCCACACTCCCGTCCTTGCTCCTCCCTCTTCCGTCTCCCTGCTTCTCCGTGGAAATGGTTGCTGGGCTGATGGGAGGACCGGATCCGGCTTGGCTGGGCCCACACTCTCTGCTTTGCTACTTATTCCCTGGAAGCATCTGTGCTCTGCTTTGGCAGAAGAGCAGCAGGTCCCCCTATTACTCTGTGCTGCCTGAGATGGGGTGACCCCCAGTATTGAGAAGCCCATTAAGATTATTCAACGGAGCCCTCTCTTTTGTATTCATTAACTCTGACCWCCACGGTGCCACTTGACGCTGTCCCTGGAAGCCCAGCACCACGCAATAGTGAACGCTGACTTCAATCAAGAACCTGGGTCTTCTGGGGCTTGGCTGATCCCAACTGATTTGGTTGATATGGCTCCTGCATCTGGGGTCGGCTGGGGTCAGCTAATCTAGATGGCTTAGCTGGGGCAGTTTGGCTCTGCCCCACGTGACTCTCATCCTCCCCAAGGAGCAGAAGCATAGGAGGAGAGCACGCAGGCAGAGGTGGGTCCTCTTTAGACCTCTGCTCAGAACTGGCCAAAGTAAGTACCAGGGCCAAACCTGCCATCAGTGAAGCTGGGAAGTTTGAGATGAGGGGAAAGAGGGGCTATTTCTCAATAATAGCCCAGGTTACACAGTCTGCCCTCAGCGATGGTTATTCATGTCCCACCTGTAAAATATGCTCAAGATTCCAAAAGCCTGTGCAATCAACTTCAGGCTTGAAGTCCAAGATGGTGTGGTCTACGTCCATTCTGGATGTGGCTCTTGATCCAGAAACATGCAAACTAAAAAAGACAAATTATCCAGCCCACACACCCTGCACATGCAGCACCCAACACCCAGTGGGATGGATAACCAGGGGACATGCTCATCTGAGCAGGGGAAGTGGGGAGGCATTTGCTAATCACACATGGCTAGTGTCCTGCTCTAGGAGTGGAACATTCCCTGGAGTGACTCCCAGTTCACAGTGTTCCACACTCCGGCTTCCATCACCCTTTCAACTTCTGAAAGGGACATTGGAAAATGTGCCTTTATAATCATCAAGAAGATAAGTAACAATAAATGTTGGGAAGGATGTGGRGGAAAAGGCACACTCCTACATTGCTGGTGGGACTGCAAATTAGTGCAGCCAATCTGGAAAGCAGTATGGAGGTTCCTCAGAACACTTGAAATGGAAACACCACTTGACCCAGTTATCCCACTCCTCGGTTTATCCTCAAAGGACTTAAAACCAGCATACTACAGTAACACAGCCACATCAATGTTTATAGCAGCTCAATTCACAATAGCTAGGCGATGGAACCAACCTAGGTGCCCTTCGGCAGATGAGTGGACAAAGAAAATGTGATACATATACATAACAGAATATTACTCGGTCATAWAGGAGAATGAAATTATGGAACTTACCCATAAATGGATGGAACTGGAGAATATCATGTTAAGTGAAATAAGCCAATCCCCCCAAACCAAAGGCTGAATGTTCTCTCTGATATCTGATATGCAGATACTAACACACAATAACTGGGGGTTACGGGGAGAACAGAAGTTCACTGAATTAGACAAAGGGAAATGAAGGGAAGGGAGGAGAGATGGGAATGGGAAAATAGTGGAATGAATCAGACATAACTTTCCTATGCTCATACATGAGCACATGACCAGTGTAACTCCACATCATGTACAACCACAAGAATGGGAAGTTACACTCCATGTATGTATGGTACGTCAAAATGCAATCTACTGTCATGTATATCTAAAAAGAACAAATTTTTTAAAAATAAATGGGTGGAGAAAAAAATGTGCCCTTTGGCAGAGGAGTAACTTTCAACCCCTTCCTGCCTGTGTGTAACAAGTTGGGAGCCTGCAATTCTTTGTTTCAAAAAGTCTTGGTCCCTTTGTAGTTCACAATAGCAATGCATTTGCCTTGTGTTCTCTCAAACATCATGTGGGTTTCCTATGTATTTGATTTCAGTTGAATCTATGTGCCAAAAGCTGTACCCCCAATTCCTTTGGTAATATACCTCTCTTAACATTTGATGACTGGTGTCCCAACATCAGGCTGCTGTGAACCATGTCCTTATGCTTTCTAGGCACCTGACTCTTGCTAAAATATCATTTTAAATGGCACCTTATTCATTTCAAGAACCTTAAGACACAGGACATTATAATCAAGAGCACACCCATATTTTATCTTTTATTCTAAGGCATGTATCATTGGCACTCTCTGCATTTGGTCTTTGCTTCCCAGGTCAGATCATAATTTAAGAATCTTTTAC